TCCTTCCTTCCTTCCTTCCTTCCTTCCTTCCTTCCTTCCTTCCTTCACTCCCTGAATGCAGCTCCCACCGGTTCTTCATTGGGGAGGAACTTAATCGGGGTCCTTAAGCAGCAAAAGAAAGGGAAGCAAGGAAAAAGTGCCCAAGCTTTCGTCACAACTCACACAAAGCGGTGGCCCACTTCCACCAAAGGTTTCCAAGCCCCGAGGGAGGCAGGCCCACCCTTCGCCCAGAACGGCAGAGGAGAAAGCTTGGACCCCGAATTCCATCTGAAGCTCCCCCCTCCCCCTCCCTTTTTGGGCTCTCTCTCTCTCCTTCCAGGACGGCGTTGTGAAACGGTCTTCAATGGCTGCCAGAAGGGTCTTTGCCAGAACGGGGGCACCTGCGCCGTGGCCAGCAACACAAAACACGGCTACATCTGCAAGTGTCCTCCGGTATGTGGCTGGCCGGCATTTGTTTGGGCAGAGGCAGAAGGAGGGGGGGGGATGGGTGGGGGGGCTCAGGCGGGACGCTGAAGCCCACACTTCTCCACACCTGGATTGTGGTGGGACGGGCGGAGCCGGCTTCCTTCAAGACTTAGCGGGCTGAGTTTGCCCCAGGTGGGAAACTGAGCCAGCTTTCGGGAGGGTCTCTCGGGGCACCCCCAGGGGGGAAGTTTCATGGTTCCACACCTAGTTGCAAACAGAGGAATTACAGACAAGTCCTTGGCTTACGACGTTAACCGAGCCCACAGTTTCATTTGTGCGTCAAAATGCTCGTGAAATGGGGAAGGGCTGTTTTCGAGGGACAGAGCTCACCTAGAGTCCAGGGTCCAGTCCTTCCAAAGGGTCCAGAGAAAGGGAAAGGAGGGATTGGGGGCCAGAGGTCTCAGCAGGAAGGTCCAAGAAGACAAAGGGAAGAGTCTGGAAGTATTGTGCCACCAGAAGAGGACGAGGCTCAGGGGCAGGAAAAAGGCAGAGAATCTCCTTTTGTGTGGAATGTGGAACTCCAGAACTCTAGGGAGTGGCTGTGATGACCCAAAGGGGCGTGGCACAAAAAGCAACAAAGTCACAAAAGTAGGTAAAGTCCCTTTAATTCCTCCAACTTGGTCCTTAATGTCCAGTTTTCATCGGCTGGAGAAAAAACTTTCCCAAGAACAGTTTTTAAAGGGGAGAAATTCCGTCCGAACCATACATATAAATTATAAATAAAAACCAACACAAGCGATTAACGAGACAGGGCAGGATAAGGAATTGCAGAACTCAAAAGATAATGAAACACACACAGTTGGGAGGACGATGCCAGAGCCCAGATAAGACGTGACAAACAAAGATAATGCACGCTTTGCTTCCAGCAAGGTACGGTGGGCAAACTCTCTTTTTAAATCCTGTTTTCCCAGCTGCAGCTAATGAAGGGAATCAAGGCCCTTTTCTCCCCCATAACCCACGTTGCTCCCTTCTCCGTTTTTCACTGCGTGCCCTAGGATGAAGAAGGGATGGCCCTGGGTCTTCCTCTGAATGCCCAGCCGGCCTGTGCCCTTCCCCAGTTTCCTCCACAGCCACCAGAGCCACACTCCCACTCCCTGTCAGCTGCTCAGCCTCCCCCTCGGAATCAGATTCCAACAGGGGCAGGACAGCGGTTATGAAACCTCACAGTTCTAAGGAGTGGATGTGGAACCCCACAATTCTAGAAAGGCGGCTTTTGATGGCACTTAGGACAGACCTGAGAGCCCTCTGATGGCAGTCCCCAAGGCCAGGGCTGGGGTACCACCCCCCCCCCCCGCTTGGCCAGATGGCCCCTGATCTGGAGCTCTTGTCCCCCCGAGTCTGGTTGGTCCTTCCTTCATTTCCGCCTTCTTCCCCGCTCAGGGCTTGGACGGCATCACGTGTGAAAACGACCTGCGCAGCTGCGGGATGCTGCGGTGCCTGAACGGCGGCACCTGCGTCGCCAGCGCCAGGCAGTCCAGGTGCATGTGCGCGCCGGGTTTCACCGGCCCCGAGTGCCAGTTCCCCCCGCACAGCCCGTGCCACTCGGGCCCCTGTTACAACGAGGGCACATGCCAGTTCCTCCCGGAGCCGCCCCACTACCGCTGCCTCTGCCCCGTCAACTTTAACGGCCTGAACTGCCACCTCCTGGACTTCGAATTCCCCGGGGGGCCTGGCCAGGACATCCCCCCTCCCCTGGTGGAGGAGAAGTGCGAAATCCCCGGCTGCCCCAGCCTCGCTGGCAACAAGATCTGCAACATCAAGTGCAACAACCACGCCTGCAGCTGGGACGGCGGGGACTGCTCGCTCAACTTCAACGATCCCTGGAAGAATTGCACCCAGGCCCTGCAGTGCTGGAACTACTTCAACGACGGCAAGTGCGACGTCCAGTGCAACAACAGCGGCTGCCTCTACGACGGCTTTGACTGCCAGAAGGTTGAGCTGCAGTGCAAGTAAGTGGCTGCGGGCGGTTGGCCAGCACCTGGGGCATGAGGCACTTGGGCCCAACTCTTCCTTTGGGAAGGGAATGAAGCCAGGGGCTAAATTTGCTGGGCCGGAGAGACCCTCAGCAGCTGCCCTTTGTGGTGATTGCTCATCCTTCCCAATCTAGCTGTCAATCCTGGGGAGACAGGATAGCAGTCTTCCAATATTGGAGGGAGGAGGGCGGGGTCAAGCTATTCTCCAAAGCACCCGAAGGCCAGGCGAGGAAGAATGGACGGAAGTTGTCCAACCTGGAAATAAGGAGGAATTTCCTGACAGTGAGAACAGTCAACGCATGGAACATGAAAGATGCCTTCAGAAGTTGTGGGAGCTTTGTCCCTGGGGGCTTTCAAGAAGAAGCTAGACTGCCATCTGTCAGAAATGGTGTAGGGTTTCCTGCTTGGGCAGAGGGTTGGGCTAGATGACCTACAAGGTCCCTTCCAACTCTGTTAATCTGTCAATCCTTGTGATTTATATAAAGTCAGTGTCTCTGAAACCCGAATTGCAGTGGTCTTTCGTGCCAGGTGATCTGATCTGGCTACCTGTGGCAGGCAACGTATCCTCTGCTGCGTCTCCACCATAGGGCATTCAGAGATACACTGCTCCTGAAAGTGGAGGCTCCATTCACTCATTTCTTCCCTCCCTCTTGGCAGTCCTCTCTACGATCAGTACTGCAAGGACCATTTCTCCGACGGCAACTGTGACAAGGGCTGCAACAGCGCCGAGTGCGAATGGGACGGCCTGGACTGTGCCAACCACGTGCCCGAGAGGCTCGCCGATGGCACCCTGGTCATTGTGGTCCTCATCAGCCCCGACGTCCTGAGGAACGACTCTCTCAACTTCCTGCGGGAGCTCAGCCGGGTCCTGCACACCAACGTGGTTTTCAAGAAGGACGCCAAGGGGGAGTCCATGATCTTCCCTTATTTCGGGAATCCGGAAGAGCTGAAGAAGCACCGCATCAAGAGGTCAGCGGACGGCTGGCCGGACGTGTCCGAAGTGGTGGTCAGCGTGACGGAAGCTCTCCACTCGACGCTCAGCCGGAGGCCAAAGAGAGAGCTGGACCAGGTGGAAATCTACGGGTAAGCAGGCCACTGCGGCGTGTGTGTGTGTGTGCGTGTGTGTGTGTGTGTGTAGTTGAGAGCAGGGATCTCCAACCTTGGCCACTTTAAGCCTGGCGGATTTCAACTCCCAGAATGCCCCGGGCAGCTGTCTGGGAGTTGAAGTCCTCCAGGCTTAAAGTGGCCAAGGTTGGAGACCCCCTGCCTGGTCTAGGACAAGGCGGAGACCCTAAATAGAAACTCCTCGATTTGACAACAGTTCATTTTGTGTCTGTAGAGATTCTCCATCCTCCAGGTCACGGTTGTGCCAAAGGTGCTTTTTTCCGGAGGCCACTGGACTTCGATTGTTTTCTCTTTGAAGATGTTTCGCTTCTCATCCCAGAAGCTTCTTCTGCTCTGACTGGACAGTGGAGAAGGGAAGGATTTATACTCCTTGCAGACAGCTGGTCATTGGCTTCCTTTTTAGAGGGTCATTGAAGCACTTGAAGGTTTATCTAAATGGCTACATGAATCTCTACAGACTTTTAGCTGTACAGTTTGGGATGGACCCCTTTGGAATGGGGTGGGAGGAGGGATGGATCCCCAGAGGGAAAAAATTGCAGACTACAGGAAGCATTTGCACCACTCAGGTGACCCTGAGGACACAGACAAACCTCCAGGTGCCCTCAATGACTCTCTTAAAAGGATGCAAATGACCGGCTGTGTGCAAGGAGTATAAATCCTTCCCTTCCCCACCACCATCCAGTCAGAGCTGAGGAAGCTTCTGGGATGAGAAGTGAAACGTCTTCAAAGAAAAAAAAAATAAGAAAGTCCAGTTGACTCCTGAAAAAAAGGACTTTTGGGACATTCAAGGAGAATAGCCCAAAGGCCGGTGCTGAATGCCTCTTGCCTCACCCAGCACAACACAGGGGATCCTCGAGTTACAGCCAGATTAAGCCCCAAATTTCCATTGCTTAAGCAAGACAGTTGTTAAGTGAGTTTTACCCCATTTTATGACCTCTCTTGCCACGGTTGCTAAGAGAAATCGCAGCAATTGCTAAGTCGGTCGTAACTTGGTTGTTCAATGAACCTGGCTTGACCGCTGACTTTGCTTGTCAGAAGTGTCGGCTGCCGCATAGCCTGAGAAAATGGGAGGGGGATGATTTCAATTCAGTAGCTCTAAGTAGACAAAATAAAATTCTTTTCGTTAGTTCAAGGTCACAGGAGGAAATTAGGATCTTACTTTGGGATGGATCGTGATTGGGCCCTGTGATGTCATGACGGCCAAGTTGGGGATAGATTTGTAGTTTGGGAAATTGTGGGAAGCCCGAAAACTTTTAGTTTCCGGTTTCCACAGATGTGCCGGGTGCTATTTTAATAAAGGTACTTTTGAGATGTGTTTGTCTCGGAGTTACTGATCGGAATGGAGGTTTGCTGGAACCCGGGACAATGCGACCGTCGTAAATATGAACCATGCTGGAGAGTTCCACCTTGAGGCCAGCGCACCACCACTCCTCCTTCCAACCGGGACAGTCTTGTTTATCTCTGTACGTCCTCCCTTTCTCTATTTGACACCTGCAGGTCTATCGTTCACCTGGAAATCGACAACCGGCAATGCATCCAGGCCTCCTCTCAGTGCTTCCAAAGTGCCAACGACGTAGCGGCATTCCTGGGCGCCTTGGCCTCCAGCGACAGCTTGGACATTCCCTACAAGATCGAAGCCGTGAAAAGTAAGCTGTCCTGACCCAGCTCCTCAAACACGACGTGGACGCAAAAGATTCCTTTCATTAGGAATGCCGGCGGCCCGTGCAAAAAGTTTCTCTCTCGGGCTAATCAATCCATGTGGCACGGAGATGAATAGTTTGTCTGCCACATCATCTTCGCCCCCTGCCTTTTATCCCCAGAGCTGGGCTGGGGCTTCGCTAGCAGCGGTGGCTCTTCTGTCCCAAGGACCGGCCCATAGATTTCCACTGCTCTCCTCTCCTCTCTGCCTTCTGTGCAGCTGCGCATCAGGCACTGGGCCCAGCTGTTCCTCCTCTTCCTCATCAGCCACCTCCAGACCTGGGGGCTGTGGACTCTCCATCGGAGGGCTGACAGACAGCCCAGGCTCTGCCTCTGTCTCTCTCTCTCTCTCTCTGCCACCTCCATTCCCTTTTTCCCTTCACATGGCTGTGAGGAAACTAATGCAAATCTCAGAAAGGAGAGAATATAAATGTTTAAAGAGATGGAGCATGAACACAGAGGCGAGTAGAGTAGAGTAGAGTAGAGTAGAGTAGAGTAAAGTAGAGTAGAGCCAGAAGGGACTTTGGAGGTCTTCTAGTCCAGCCCCGCTCAAGCAGGAGAACCAATAACATCTCAGACAAGTGGCTGTCTCTCTTCTTAAAAACCTCCAGTGATAAAGCACCCATAACATCAGAAGGCAAGCTGGTTAATTGTCCTCACTATTAGGAAGTTTCTCTTTAATTTCCAGGTTGCTTTTTTCCTTGACTAGTTTCCATCTCTTGTTAATTAATTCATGTTAATTCCCAACCATTGCTTTTTGTCTTGCCTTCTCCTGCTTTGGAGAATAATTTGCTCCCTTCTTCTTTGTGGCGGCCCCTCAAATACTGCTATCCTGTCCCCCCGAATTCTTCTTTTCTTTAAACTAGCCAGACCCAAATCCTTGCAGCTGTTCTTCATATGTTTTTGTCTCCGGGCCTTTGATCCATCTTAGTTGCTGTTCTCTGCACTTTTTCCAAAGTCTTAACATCTGTTTGAGTTTTTTTTGTAAATTTTTTTGGTTTTTAAAAACAAACATAAACAAACAAAACATCAAAACGTCAAACTTTCTTCCATAGGTATACAAACAGTGTGCCGGTTGGTTTACAAATTATTTTGTGCATCCATTTCGTAGTCTTCAATTACAGTTACATTACATAAAAGCTCATATTATCAATCAAAAATTAAATACCCTAGTATCATTATTAATCAATCATTTGACTATAGTTTTATTCATTCATATTTTACAAGATAACCATAATTTACTTTATTTTATAACCATTCATATTATCCTGTTATGCTGTTTCTAACAGGTCTTCCAAGATAAAAACCAAATCATCCGCAAAGGCTTGCAGCTTAAATTCTTCCTTTTTAAATTTTATTCCTTTTATACTCTTTTCATCTCTAATATTTCTGTTTAACACTTCCAAAGTTAACACGAATAGCAAAGGTGATAGTGGGCACCCTTGTCTTGTTCCTTTTCTTATATCGATAGAATCTGTCAGTTCTCCCTCTATCATTACCTTTGCCGTCTGCTTATGATATATAGCTTCTATTGCTTGAATAAATTTTCTAGCAAAACCCATCTGTTCCAACAATAATAACATAAATCGCCAATTCACATTATCAAATGCCTTTTGTGCATCTAGAAATATCAAAGCCATTTGTTTTTCAGGATGTTGCCTCATAGTATTCCAAGGTATCCAAAATTACTCTTATATTATCTTTAATTTGTCTCTTTGGCAGAAATCTATTTTGGTCAGAATGAATGAAGTTATTTAAATATTATTTAAGTCTTTCTGCCAATATTGAAGAAAAGATTTTATAATCTGCGTTTAGTAGGGAAATAGGTCTATAGTTCTTAATTTGCAATGGATCAGCCTCCTCTTTTGGAATAAGTGTGATATATGCTTCTGACCATGATTTGGGTATCTTCTTCTTTAACATAACTTCATTCATAACTTCTAGCAATGGGAGATTCAACGATTCTTGTAATGTTTTATAAAATTCTGCCGGAAGTCCATCTGGGCCTGGTGCCTTTCCATTATTTTGCTTCTTAAGTGCTTCAGTTAACTCCATCATAGTTATATTGCTATCTAACATTTTTTCAGTCTCTTTAGGTATCTTGGGTAAATTAGCATTCTGTAAATACTGCTTAACTCTTTCCTCATCAATATTCTCTGCTTATATAATTTCCCATAAAAGTCTCGAAGGATTTCCTTCTTCTCTTTACTGCCATGGCAAACTTGGCCTTGATCATCTATTAACTGCAATATTTTCCTTGATTCTTTCTCCTTTCTTAGTTTATATGCTAACCATCTACCTGGTTTGTTTGCATCTTCAAAGTAGTTCTGTTTAGCACCTCTAATTTTCTGTGCTAATTCTTCTTTCTCTATTTGACCCATTTTGTGTTTAATTATATCCATTTTTAGCTTGATGTCCTTTTTCTGTGACATTTTCTGTAGTTCTTTTTCAAGTCTTTTATGCTCATCCTCTAGAGCCTTAGAGGCTAGCCTTTTCATAGTATTCCTTTTCCTTGTATAGTCTATTATCAAGCCTCTAGCATATGCCTTCATTGTATCCCATACATTGATCCATCTTAGTTGCTGTTCTCTGCACTTTTTCCAAAGTCTTAACATCTTTTTTTGTAGTATGGCGATCAAGATTGATTGCAGTACTCCAGGTGTGGCCTTATCTCTATATTGTCATCTGTTAAAATATCCACCTGGCATCGAAGCCGTGTAGTTAGGGGTTCAGTTTCCCAATATCAAAACTTGTTTGGTTTCTAATCTTACAGAATGTGAGCAAGCCATGTTCCTCAGCGTCGGCATTGACATGCGGACTTCAACACCCAGAATTCCCTAGCTGCCCATGCTGGCTGGGAAATTCTGGGAGTTGAAACCCACCACATGCTTAAAATTAGCAAGGTTGAGAAATAGCGGATTAAAGTTAATAATGGGTTTTACAGTTCGTGGCTAATTCCACCCGATGCAACTCGATACGCTTCTTGAGTTAAAAGACCCAGCACAGGCCCCCCCAATACACACATGTGCCCCGCCTGTGCCTAATGTACAACATACAAGCCAATTCCTGTAAAATAACAGGTGTTAAAACATGGCAGCGAAGAGTCCCGTATGCAATGAATTGAATACCCTGTAAAAAGAAAAATCCCGTCCCCTTGCTACTCGTTGGAAGCGGGGAAAGAAGAAAACTTCTCAACTTTTGTCTCCCCTCCGGAATTTATTTCAAAATAATTATTGCAAGGGAAGGAGGAGGGGGGGAAGCTGCCCCAGACCTTCTAATCGATCCGTGACATGTGAAGAGCTGAAGTGTGCGCCTCCCAAATCCTCCTCAATCCTTTGGATTTAACCGCTCAATGTGGAATCCAATGATTTGAAATGGGCTAATCCTTTTTTCTCCTAAAGGAAAATAAGCTTTTTCCCCCCAGTGCAGCAACGGAGGGTTTGCACTGCTGATGAACCACATCGAAATTCTCCTCCTCCTCCTCCTCCTCCTCCTCCTCCCGGGGATCTGGATAGGGAGGGGTGGGGTGGGGGGGACGAGTGGTGGGGCTGCTTGGACCTCAGTTTTCCCGTCTCCTGGCTGGGGTGCACCTTCCCTCGGTCTCACCTTGGTCCTCCTCTTGGCTTTTGTGTCCTAGGTGAAACCGCCGACCCGCCCAGCAGCAGCCAGTGGTATCCTATGTATGTGGTGGGACCGCTTCTCTTTCTCCTCTCCTGCATTGGCATCGGCGTTTTGGCAACTCGCAAGCGGCGCAGGGAACATGGGCATCTCTGGTTCCCGGAAGGCTTCAAAGTGAACGAATCCAGCAAGAAGAAGCGCCGGGAACCGCTGGGAGAGGATTCCGTGGGGCTGAAGTGAGTAATCCCACCCCCCCGCCTTCTTTTCCCCTCCTTGCAGAGGTTGGGATCTGTACCGGATCCTCTGACCGATCCTAGAGAGTTGTTCGCTCTCTGTCCGGTTCACGCAAATAGCATCGAACTGTTGTCTTAACGGGACATCTGGTTGAAAAGGGATGGGATTTATTTGCTTAGGGATTTATTTATTTTTTTTAAAAGCATGAGAATGAGCACAGCAGTGGCAGCTCATTAACCCCAATTTAGCGTGTTGGGCTCTTTAATGTCTACTGCATGCCAGCTTTGAGTTCCATTTAGCCAGAGAAACTCAGCTGGGACTAAAACTTTATTTAGAAAATTTATATTGCCACCTACTCGCGCATAGCAACTCAAGGCAGCCTAGAAAGGGCATTCAAAACATCGTATACAAGAAATAAAAATAATAAAATAGTATGTTATTTTTCAAAGCGTTTCGAAGTTTGGCTTCCTTTTTCAGTCCAGGGGAAATAGAGGCCAGTAATAGTCCTGTGATTTTGTGAAAGGGGCTGCTTTTCTGCCCCACACAGGACGAATTGTAGGAAACACACCTCTTTGGCTGCTGCCTCTTTGGCCCTGGGTGGTGGGGGGCATCTGTTGGAAGTGGGGTGTGGGTGGGTGGGTGTATTATTGATTTGTGCTGTTTTCTCTCAGTGGGTGTCCTGAGTAAATTTTAGAATACGGGTGGGATCAAAAGTCTCACCTTTATTTTCACTGGCTTCTAAGAGGACTTTAATTTTTCATTCAAGAATGATCACAGGTGACGAAGTAATTGGTTATATTTTATGGCCTCTCAGGCTCTCCACGTTGCCTTCTCTCTCTTTTAAGTGCATATAGAAGTGCATATATCATTTGATGTTTTTAATACCTCAGCACTGTGGGCTTTCTTTTAAAAAAGACAGCCTACGTGTATTTTATATTGTGTATTTTTAGTACCTTCTCCTGAAAAAAGATCCAATGATAGCACATTTTTTAAAAAGAGATATTTCTTTTTTAAAGGAGAGAAAAAGGTCTGGTGGTTTTACAAGGGTCCCGAAGGGTCAAACCGTTGAAGGCGACAAATGAAACCCCTGCATTGTCCAGCTCATATAACCCCGAAGGGAGCATCCAGAGTTTATACAAATAGATTGATTTTATGTAGAATATACACACAAGCACATCACCCAAACCGCTCTGTTTCTACTACATCTGGCATTCTGGGTCTTAATTTTAATTCCTTGCTATTTTTTTTAAAAAAAACTTAGTTTGACTTCTGTAGAAAGGTTCCAAAATCATTACATTTTAAGGAGGTTTTTTTGGGGGGGGGGGGATTTACACCCTCAGCATGGATAAAAGGTTGAACTGTTAGAATAATGGGGTCTTTTTATTTAGCTTGTCTAGTCTTTACTCCACTTCGTTTTGTGGACAGCCATTGGAATTGGTTGCCGGGCTATTTCCCTCCGTGGATTTAATTCCTTTAATTCCTTCCTTTCCTCCGTTTCCCCCAACCCTTTGCCCTCTAGACCCTTGAAAAATGCTTCAAATGGGACCCTGATGGACGACAACCAGAACGAGTGGGGCGATGAAGAGACTCTGAACACCAAGAAATTCCGAGTAAGCTCCTCAGGGATGCTTTGCTTTGGGCCAGATTTTTCTTCCTAACCGCTTCTCATTCAGTCTGGATTTGGGGAACTCGGGGTTTTTTGTCAAAGAAGAAGAGAATTTCACAGAAGGAGCGTGCAATTCCACACATATATTACAGCTTCATGCAGCGACTAAAGCTGTCCCTACCTTGCTAAAACCCAACCAAGAACGACACATGGAGCCTGATATTGCAATTCTTGCAATTCTTCACCGATGGCTTCAACGATTCCCTTGCGTGGTGCAGCCCCCAGTCCCGCTGTCTCCAGCCTAGGGGTCTGGCCAGGATGGGTTGGAAGCAGTCATTCTGTGGGGGCTTTTTCAGATCGGGAAGTTGGGGGGGGGGGCAGGGGGGAGAGCTTTGCAAAGACGCCATGAAAAACACGTCTACAACAATAGAAGGAGCAAAACTTCACTGAGAGAAAGTCAAAAATCCCCAGGAATAAAGTTAGGACCACAAAGGTGTATGGAGTTATTTGCCTGACAGGAAAATGCTGAGAAATAGCAGGATAGAGTTTAGTGCAAGGTGATTTTTTTTGGATCTTTACAGGCCCACCCCTTGGATGAATGGGCCCATCAGTGCTTCCGTGTGGAGAATTACATATTTGAAAATACACACGCTCTGTTTTTTCCTCTCATCGTTTTTCCTCCTTCATGGTTCTCTGTGGAGGAGGCAGCTGATACCCTTGGCTCCCCGCACCCCCATAGCATTTTGAGAACAAGGGCATAAAAACAGCGAACAGAGGCATCTTTGGCGGGTGGATCCTCACCTGACTTCTCCATCCCTCTCTTCCCAGGTCGAGGAACAGGTGATGCTGCCCGATGACCAGACTGACCACAGGCAGTGGACGCAGCAGCATCTGGACGCAGCCGACCTGCGCATTTCCTCCATGGCCCCCACCCCACCCCAGGGGGAGATCGACGCCGACTGCATGGATGTTAACGTCCGAGGGCCAGGTAGGACAAGGAGCCTTTGGGTCTTTGGCACGAGAGCGAATGATGGACCGCTACACGATCCAGTCGGTAGCCTGGATTCTGGAAAAGATCCTCCCCCCCCCAATTTCCAGGTGGCCTCAACCCTGCCTGCCTTCCTCGTTTTGAATTTATTTTATTGCCTTTCATAATATAAGATCCAAATTAAAGATTAAAGACAATAGGGAAACGGGGAGGAGGAAAGAAAAGGTGGGATAGGGTGGAAAAGAACAAAGAAGCAGCAAAATCCAAATTTTTGGAGCACAGTAGAATAAAAGTTATAAGGTAAAGCCTCAACGTTTTATTTTTACATACTTAGTATAGACTAGCCATCTCTATAACCACAGATCTAAATCAAACTTGCATTTTTCCTGCCGGAGCACGAAATCTAGAAGGAGTTTCTAAGCAGCCAAAAAAAATAAAATAAATGTATTACTTTTTTTAATTATTAAAACAGTGGATTTGCCCTTATCCGCCTCCTCCACCCAGCCATTCCTCCAGGTTGGGGATTAATAGGTCTTTCCATTTTTGCACCTAAAGAATTCTTGCTGCAGTCAGCAGGTACAACCAATCCCACATTTTTTTCCAAGTTCCTTATCCAGCAGTCCAGTCCTGCCTTGTCTTTCAAAAGACCCGGGAGCTCCTTTTAATTATATCAATGGTCTTCCGGTGTTGATGTTTTGATTGTTTTATTATTTGCTATTTTAAAAAAAATTGTTAGCCACCCCGGATTGTGTGGTGAGCGGGTGACCATCTAAATCGCAGTAATGATGAGCGGAGCTGCCTAGTGAAAAGCCACAACATGATCTGTGTGTTCTTATCAGGGTGCTGGTTTCACATTTGGGGGGGCTCCTTTCGTTTATCTCTGTGGCAGGAAAGTGCAGTATAAGTCTGGCCAGTATCAATAGGTCTAAATTGCAGACTTGGGCAAATAGGGAAAAAAAGAAAAAATAGAGGTCCACGGAGCAAAGAGAGGGAGATAGATAATGAGAACAACCTGGATGATGGACTCAGTTGTTTCACAAAATGTTTCCTCTTGAACAACTGAGCATGGAGTCCCATTTCGTTCTGATTCTTCCCAGGTGAAGCGCTTTTTTTTTTAGTTCTTGTGGCATTGTGCCGGACGCTGGTAGTGGACAAAACCAAAGGATGTTATGTTATATTGTATTATATTATATTATATTATATTATATTATATTATATTATATTATATTATATTATATTATATTATATTATATTATATTATATTATA